GTATACACAGCGTTTGGCTGTATCCTGTGCGTACTTCCACGGCACACAGACATGCGGCAGAAGGCAGGGATCCTCAACAAAGCTCCGGTGACCGAGAACCTGAAACAGTAGTCATAAAACAGTAGTCATAAGGACAGCAGCAAGAAACAAAGTGTTCCGTACCGCGATTGAGGTCGTTGTCTGTTGTTTTCTACATCCGGTGCAGCGATATAAGTCGTGAAAAGAGCTGGACCTCTGGTGTTCGAACGCATAGCATAGAGGACTACCTGTGAAATGAAACATCATGAGGTAAGGTATGGACTTCATCGGATCATTGCGCTCACCTGGGATTCGGTACTTCATGACAGGATGTGTACCCTTCTGGCTTGTGCTGGCTATCCCAGGGAAGAGACGACCATATCGCTGCCGGGTTCTCGAGACGGTGGTGGGCTTCCACTGCGTCCTGGAGGGGCAGTTGCAGCTGTTGGTGGAGGCCTGTCTTGACGAGGTGCAACTAAATGATGAGATCACGTTCGCGTTTCATCGTAACGTCACTTTAACTGCATACACTTACCACTCGTCAACAAGCCCAAAAGAGTGACATAGTTGGCCATGTTCACTCGACTGGTGGATGGTTGTCCATCCCCAGAAGCTGAAGTTGAATAGTTAATTAAAGAACAGCACATTTCAACTCAAAAGCTTACATGTGCCCAATGCGGCCGTGTCAGAATAGCCCTGAGGAGGGCTGTTGGGTTGAGAAGTAGGATGCGTAGGATTCGTAGGCATTGTCTTAGACAACTGATGTGGTCTGGTACTACATTCTGTCTTCCTTGTAACCCAGAAATGTTTCGATATCCTAGAGGCTCAAAAACGTTCGCTTGCCGTGAAGTCGCCAAACGCCTGGGGACCTCGCGCTATGGTTGGGCCTCCTTCGGGGTCACATATCTGGAGAATGATGCTATTGCGTTATTGAAGTGAGGGATCGTTGTGCAGTTAACATCGAACAGCGTGCAGATTTCAGTAAAACTCCAACTTCAAGGACTTGATGGGAATTGTCCTATTCAGTTATATTCATAACTACTAATGTGACTGAATAGGAAAAATCAAAGTCCTTGAAAAGTTCATGACTTTCCGGACCCCATGCATTCATTTGCCGGCGTGAACACACAACCAAGGCAATCTGATAAACGTGATATCTCGCGTGCTATATGCTCTATGCTAAGGCTGAGCATTGAAGATAACCATCCATTAGATCCCGTGTAGTGCTATGTAGGGGTTTTCAGAAGATTTAGTGATCGATAATCGGTTGAATGGCATTAGTCATGGCTATTTAATCAAAAGTGTGGCGAAAGAAAAACGCATACCCTCATCCATAGTTCTATGAAACCATCCACGTTGTATCTTCTGTTGTAACTGTGTAATAATCTTTTGTGCCAACAAAATTCAATTCGCGACCAATTTATTACGGAGATCAAAATACATGAGAACACTCACATTCATATCAACAAACTTTCACAAAAAGCACACTACTAGCTGTTGAAAAACAGATTGCAGAGTATCACTTACATTGACTACAGCAAATGAAAATCTTTTGTGCCAACAAAATTCAATTCGCGACCAATTTATTACGGAGATCAAAGTA